AAGCTTGCTGGGAAGAGGTGGGTCACTGTGGGGATAGCCTGCAAATATATGTATATCCCCCTTCTACTCCCTTTGTCCCACTTCCTGCCTGCCCTGCCATGGACTGTTTCTCCTCACTATGCTGCCCTGGCAAACTGTGAGCTGAAAGCAAATGTTTCCTCCTTTAACTTGTAGGAGCTGGGTATTTTGTACTACCAGTGAGGAAAATCTCTAAGATATGGTGGTAGCACAACTCTGACTATATCAACAATTATTGAATTGTATAATGAAATGGAGAATTTTAATGAAGCTATTAAAATTAATAAAATGCAAGACTTATACACTGAGAACAATAAAACATTGCTGAACTATTTCAAAGATCTAAATAATGGAAAGACATCCACATATTCAAGAGATGTACTATTAAGATAGCAATACTCCCCAACTTACGTAAAGTTTCATTGAAATCACTATCAAAGTTACAGCTGAGTTTTAGGGGAAATCAACAAGTTGATTGTTTGCCTCTTCATATTATGTTTCTCTTAGTTCTTGGTATAATTGTTAGCATACAGTAGAATTAATATTTACCTCAAAGTATGCCATACAATAGAAGGGAATTGTCTTATACTCAGATTTGGGTAAGTCTTTCATATTTTAGGACATTTTCTAAGTTATTTTTGAACAAGTCCTGTATTGTTTGGAAAATACATATTAAAATGGCTAAAAGCAATATTATTTTAAAATGCTCATAAAGGTCTTGACCCTTAAGTGCTCTGAAATTGGTGTAGTGCAGCTGTGGGAGAGGGTGGGGGAGAAAGTGCAATAATGCAGATGCATTTAGTTCCAGAGTATGTGAATTTACAGTCGCTAGGATATCATTTAAACAATCCTTTCAAATATCACTTAAAAAGTAACATGCCAGTATAAAGTAAAAATATTGTAAAAGTGGAATGAATGAAAACAAATTAATACTACAAAATACAGAATGAGAGAACAGTTTTCACGTGTCTGATGAAGGGTTAGTATCTAAAATATACAAGGAACACTTACAACTCAATGCCAAAACAACACAAAATAACTTTGTAAAAAAATGGATAAAGAACTTCAATAGACATTTGTGACAGTAGTTTTTGACTGTGTAATTTATTTTTTTCTACTTTTATTTGTGACAATTTAGCTGGATTATTAAATTGATTGGATTGATAGTTGCCCAGGGGTTTAGTGAAGCACATTTTTGGCTGTGTCTGGGTGAATCATAGTGATGTGACTTTGGATTATGTATCTGGTTCCTAGACCTTTTCTTTCTGGTACGGTTCCCCTGCTCTGCTTCCCGGCCACCATGAAAGGGGCACCTTGTTCCACCATGGTCCTCTGTCATGATAATTCTGCTTTGGAGCCAGGACCATTTCCTGAATCCTCTGAACGAGTGAGCAAAATTTAATCTCTTATTACACTGTGGGTGTCAGGTACTTTGTCAGCAACAGGAAAGCAGTGATCAACTGGCTTCAAGGAACATGATGATGGAAGGGAGTGGCAGAACAAAGACAGCCCGCAAAGCGGAGCAAGAGAACAGAGCCAGAGAGGCAGAGGCCAAAGACCAGAGAGAGATCCTAGGATCTCTATAATCTACTCAAACACACCAAAAAGTGTGCTTTACCTGTTCCCTAGCCACCTCTCAAGCCAATCAAGTTGACAACTAAGTTCAACCATACATTATGCTAAATTAAATAAGCCAGACATTAAAAAAGTACTTCATGATCTCAGTTATATGATGAGTCTAGAGTAATCGAACTCATAGAAGCACAGAAGGAAATAGTGGTTGTCTGGAGGCAAGTGGAGACATTAATGAGTCAGTATTAGAGAGTACAAAATTTCATTTATGGAAGATGAAAAGTCCTAGGGACCTACTGTACAAGTATAGTGCCTATAAATAAAAATATTGTATTATATACACAAAATTTCTAGGAGAATAAATCTCATGTTAGATAGTCTTATCATGCAAACACAAAAAAGTAATAAAGAGGCAGGAATAAACATTGGGAGGTAATAGTATTACTATATAGTATATAGGTAATATATAGTTTCAGCTATTATGTCATAGGTGTATGATTATCTCCGAATTCAATAAACTGTGTAAATTACATATGTATAACTTTTCGTACATCAATCTCATCTCAGAAAAGTAGTTGAAAGAAAAGCATACACATATACAAATCTTACTAATGTTTATAGGAACCCATTTGTTACTGTAGCATCTGTTTCAATGTGGAATATATGTGAGCATCAACTTCCTAAAAACACAAGCAAACAAATACTATACAAATAGAGTAAAAGTTACATTTGATAACATCATATACACATTTAAAGAATGCTCTAATTTAGTAAGTTTTGACAAAAGTAAAAATGACATGCTCTGAAAATTGTAAGAAAATGATAAAAGCATGCTCAGAGTCTTTAGGGACATTTGCCTGAAGAGCCACTTTGACCTATAATAGACCTCTAGTAAACAAGACACAATTTTGTTTTATTAAACTACTAAAATTTGCTTTTTTTCATAAACAAAGTAATATCTAGCCTATACTGACAAATACAAGTACGTATAATATATCCTTGAATTAACATAGTCATCTAAAGATAAATTATTACGCCTCATGTCTTTGTAAATTTCCTTATTTTTTTAGGGACAAGAAAAGGCAAAAAATAATATTTACATAATTAAGTAGACATGGACATGCTCTCCAGAAATACTATTATTTATAAGAATAAAATTAACTATTGCTGTTAATAATTTCTTAATATTATTCATTATATAGCTTGTACTAAATTTTTTAAAAATATCATTACATACTGTTCAAAAATTTAATTTATAGATCTTTTTAACATATCTGCATTTATATAAGATATATAAAAATAAAAATATTTTATTCTAAAACAAGATAAGAGTACACATAGTCCCATGCACTTAGATTAGGAGTTTTAATTTACCAGATGGAGGTCTTTGTCCATACCTTTAATATGAAGAATCAAATCTCTTTTTTCATAACATATATATACATTCATGTTCTAGAAATACCTACTTCAGTTACTTTTATAATATTTTATGATAAGATGCATGTTTTGTGAAATGTATTTTCTGTATCCCCACTGATCAGTGGAGATAAAGATTTCTCAAAGTCTGGCTTTAGATGCCATCAAGTTTCTAGATGTTGTCTGTGGTAGTATCACCTCCCTCACAGTACTGTAAGGTAATCTGCTTCCTTGGAAACTGGGGCTTTGGCTGAGCTATGCTCGATGGGAAGTGAAAAATTTCTCTGGAGCAAGAGAAGCATAGTATAAAGCCCATCTGGAGATGTCCAGGTTTATGTTTCCCACACCCTTCTTTAGTTTCCTCATTAAAGCTCCTCTATCAAGGGGTATAGAAGATGCAACCAAAATCTTCTCATACTGTACAAGCTACATCTTTCTGTATAGCAATTTCTTCTTCTTTTTTCTTTTTTTCTCTGTTTACAGATATTGGCTCAAATTTTATTCCAAACTAAAATATATTCCCTATGATATGTAGCAATTGTATAATTATATGCATCGGTATGAGACTAAATAATTGCTAACAATGTTTTTTATTATTACTTGCTGCTTTAAGGAGAAAAAATATGTGATACTACCTATACTTATTTTACAAAACTTTTCTTTGATTTAATCATCATGTTGTTATCGTGAAGACATTCTAATCATCTTGTCTGACTTGGAAATTTTAAAGCACTCAATAAATGAGTTAGTGTCTATGGCCTGGCTTTTTCTTTTCTTAAGTTCTTTTATTGGTACATTTTAGGCATACAATTCATTTACATTTATCATTGGGTGTTTGTACCTGTACATGATGTATCTTGGTTCGTATTTTTCCCCATTACCTGTGTGGCCTGGCTTTTAATAGTTTCTAAGTCAGCCAATATTCCAGATGAGAAGCAGTATGGGGTGGTAGATTGATCATAAGAAGCAGGTGTCCTGGATTCCCATGCCCTTTTATTTGCCTTGTAACCTCAGTATAGCATTGAACTACACTTCACAAAATGAAGTCATAAGCATAGTTACAGCTTATTGATTAAAACTTAGGGAATAGGAAATACTTTCTGGCCCTCTTAAAGCACTAAAACCATTGGCTTACTCAGAATCATATTTAGAATCAAAAGTTATAGAAACTACTTAACTCTTGGGTGGATATCTGTTTATTTGGAAATGACTTATCTATCTACCCCAAACCTCTAACTAGATTGAAAAGCTACCTGTTCCTTTTTAAAGAAAGAAAAAGCTCTTTATCAAAAGATTATTGTATTCAAATTTTGTTGAATAATATAACTGAGAAATAATGAACAGCCACTAACTAATGAAAATCCACTGTGAATTAAGACGCCTTTGTAAGGACTGACTTCCTATTTTTCACTTGGAAGCATAACAGAAGAATAGGTGAGGATTTGTTCCAAGTTTTCTTGGTCCACTTTGCTATACGTGTGCACTAAAGCAGAAAGTAGATGGATTGGATTGATGAAAGAGTATGTTTAGTACTCTTTAGCTTTCTTTCAGGCACTTTAAATCTTTTCTTACCAACGAAAAGTAGAACAATAGCAGTCAGATTTGGAAAACTGCTACTTGATAGAATACCAATCAAGAAAATAAAACACCTTCAGTCAGTTCATTAAAAACATATCTGTTTGAAATTTCTTTTTTGATTTGTAGCTTTTCTTGATGAATCTTGAGAAATCTACTTTTATTTCCCTACAAGCTTTTTCAAAGGATAATGGAAGATCTGTAAAAAGAGATTTTTTAGGCTTTTTAGAAATGTATCACATAGAACTCCCAAAACCCTACTCATTAAATACTGATTCCTCACAGACAAGGGTTCTATAGATTCTCAGTCTATATAATAGCTTTGAAATGGGACTCAAGCATCATTTCTTTTTACATAGTGACAGACATGTTTCAGTTGTGCTTAATGATCTTGTTTTCCTTACTTTGTTCATCCCCAGGTCCTCCGATGTGGAGTAAAATACGTTATTCTCCTGCTGGGCGAGGGTGACCACAGTTCCCTGACAGTGTTGTTATCAGGTAAGGAGGTCAAAGCAGTTTTATTAGCACCGCCTAGAGACAGAGTCTTCTAGAACTATTTTTCCTGATTTGTAATTGGCATGGTCCTGTCAAGCTCCTAGGGCATATAAGCCTTTGGTAGCAGGATATTTCTTTCCCCTATCTTAGTTACTTTGTTCATCACTGGGACAAAATATCTGATACCCACAATTTAAAGGAGGAGAGGTCTTTTGGGGCTCAAGGCTTCATTCCAGTCAGCTTGCCCCAAGGCAGAAATGGCATGATGGCAGAGCCTGGGAAGAGGGAAGCTGCTTGTCCCATGGCAAGCAGGAAGGGGGGCGGCAGAGGGAGAAAGGAGAAAGGAGAAGGGACAAGGGAGAAGGGAGAGTCAGAGAGGAAGATCTGTCCTTCCAGATCACATCCCCAGTGGCCAGTGGCCCACCTCCAACCAGGCCCACATCCTTATATCACATTCCAGCTACCATACTCTCATGATCCAGTCACTTTCCAAATACATGCAGTGTTGGGAGGACACTAAACCATAACACCTGCTGCCTACAATATTAATACAGATGATTGAATTTGCATTATTTTACTTAATGGGGTTGAGGTACTCCGTAGATTGCAATTCACTTGACTGTGACTCTAACTCCCTATTTAGCTAGTACAAGCCTCCTCCCTGTGAATTTTTGTTCCTGGCAAGCAGCTTGCTAGGAAGAGAGTTAGAGTCAATATGAGATAGATTCTTAGTGTTGTTTCCTCTTGATTAGTGAGGACCCTTAATTGCTCAGTTTTAAGCTGCATATCCTTTGGTTTTGGGTCATTGGAATTGTTGGCTCTTCTCCAAGAAGCTAGCTGATCAAGATTTGCTAGCATTCTCATGCCCTGTTTTTACAGGCTCAATTTTTCCTTTCTTGTTGATAAGTTCCTAAGGTACTATATGTCTGTTATCTCAGTCTACCTAATTTATGATACTATAGTATTTATTCCTATATGCATAATAAATGTTTGCTTCCTTTACTTAAAGACAAATGCAGTAAATAATAAGGCATTTGCTATGGTTTGAAAGTGTCACACACGTTTTATGCTACAAACTTAATCCGCATTGTTATATTTTTTATTACTTCATGTGTGCAGTATAAAATGTTTACATTCCTTGTGTAGAGTTGGTATATATACGTAATACTTCTTAATTTCTTTCTTCATTCTCTTTCCCTCCACTCATCTGTTAATCTCCTTCCACTTTACAAATTGGTGGGTTTTGGTGGTGTGGCCTATGGAAAGTAATTAGAAGTAGATAAGATTATGAGTGAGGCTCCCACAGCAGAAAAAGCGGTTTTGAAACAAGGGGGAAGGGGAAAGAGGAAAGGAAGAGGAGGGGGAGGGACAGGGAGAAAGAGAAGGAGAAGGAGAAGAAGAAAAAGGAGGAGGAAGATGAGCAGAAGGAGGGGGAGGAGAAGGAGAGGAAGAAGAAAATGGAGAGCGACTTATGCTGACACACTGTCTTACCATGTGATTCTTCTCACCATGGCACGATGCAGCAAGAAGGCCTTCACCAGATGCCAGGCCTTCATCCTTGGACTTCTCAGCTTTTAGAACTGTGAGCTAAACAAACATTTATTCTTTATAAATTACTGAGTCAGTGATATTAAATTATAGCAACAGAAAATGGGCTAAGACATCATTGTATCTCCAACTTTCCTTGGAATCCTCACTTGATAGTGTGAAAGAAGATAATCTTGAAGCCTCTTGAGGCCTTTAAAGCCACTACTCAATGACCCTGGGAAACTGAACTTACTGTTGACTGCCTGTTCATCTACTTCTGGATCTATGACTTGGCTAAATGAAACTTCAGCTGTTTATCTGAGATATAAAAGTATTTACTGTGTGTAATTCTTTGCTTAATTCCACTTTTTTTGACTCATCCCTAGAACCTCAGACAGCATTCTTTTCCCCAGAGCACAATTCATACCTAGAGCTACTTTAAATGTAGTCTTTAACCCAGCTGAGTAAAACATGATGTGTGCCTGGGATTTAGCTCAGTGGTTTTGCTGCCTGCTGCGCAAGTGCCAGGACTTGAGTTCGATCTCCGGTACCAAAAAAAGAAAAAGCAAAAAAGCTAAACAAAAAAAACATGATCTGATTATCTAAATGACGTGATTTTATTTTATAAACTGATAGCAAAGTTGTCACTCTGGGACTGGGGCTGCATTCTACACAGCACAACTTTAGTAGTACTGAATTTCTTTCCATCTACTAAAAGAAATTTTTGTATAAACACAGCTTTTAATTCTTGCCTCTAAGAAATTTTTTCCTTCTTGGCATGTTACCCAGACCATTTCTTCAGTTCTGTTCAGAAACGTTTTTTTCCTCTAACATAGCAAATCACAGAGCATTCATTTGTCAGTCTTTCCTTACCTTTCCTTTGTAATGGAGAGTAGATTCTTTTCTTCAAAATATAAAATGATAATAATCTCAGGCAAAAGCACAATTACAGCACACGTGAGGCCCTGGAATAGTGTTGCTGGAGTGCTTGCTTCCTGAGCTCACAGTGAACTACTGACAGACTTTTGTGGTTCTGCCAATAAACTGCCTGCTAACTGTGTATCTTGTCTTAGTCACTAAGAACTTCTGTCAATATTACTTTTAAGTCTGTCTGGCTTTTGTCTTCTTCTCAAGCTACTAATCTGCACTAATCTGATACATGTTAATAATTTTTACTTTATAAACATCCATTTCTGTTTATTTTGTGAATGTTAGACATCTTACTGAAAATGGTTCCCAGATATGTTATTCTAAGAATTTTTAGTCAGTTATCATCATCCTAGGATTCCCTTTATTTCTTTTATATCAAGCCCCTTGTTTGCTTGATCCTACTCTGCCTTGTTCTTTCATTAATGCCTTCCCCATCCCAGTCCTGGGTATTGAACCCCAGCAACTTGCATTGACCTGCATCCCTAGCCCTTTCAATTTTTTTTTTTAAATTTTGAGACACAGTTTCACTAGTTTTCCCAAGCTGGCATTGTACTTGTGATCTTTCTGCCTCAGCTTCCTGAGTCACTGGGAGTACAGACATATGTTACTGCTCCTGGGTATTCCCTCTTCTGATAATATACTCTCCATTATTTCTCTGAGAAAAATTGTGTGGGAATGTATTATTGTTAAAGCAGAAAAACAGAGCCATAGCAATTATTCTATCGGATTTATTTTAAGAACTGGTTTATTTGATTTGGGGAGCTCACTAGGCAAGTCTAAAATCTGTAGGGAAGGCCAGATCTCTCAGACATAGGTTGATGATGCAGTTCACTGGTAGTGCTTCTTCCAGGAAACCTCAGTCCTGGTCTAAAGCCTTCCAACTGTTTGGATTAGGGGCACTCAGATTATCTAGGATTATATCTGTTTCTTAAAACCAATTAATTATAGATGTCTATTCTCTCTATTCTTTGTATTTTTTTTTCATAACATTCTGGAGATTGTATAAAGTTCAAGAGAAAGCTTGGAGAGCTATTCTTAATCATTGCTGGAATTCACCTTGGGTGAACTAGATGTAATCTATTTTCTTGCATAATGTTGAATACTTTTTTAAAAACATTTTATTTTGTTTCCCTGTTTTCTAGCCTTAGTGTGAATTATTGTGCTTTTATAAACACATCACACCATTTTCATATATAATAAATGGATTTATTTGATTAAGTTTCATGTTTTTTATTTACATTTGATTCCTTGATTGTATTTGAATCTCTAGGGCAAACCCAGGTCTCTTTAATATGGAACTTCTACAGCTGGCTAATGTCATCCATTGTATTTTAATTCTCATTAGTTTCATTTCTGTATTTTGGCTCTTTCTGATTTGTGTTAAGCTTCTGAGAATATCTTATTGTAGACATCCAGATTATAGAATCCATAAATAAATTTGCACTCCTAGTTTGAAAATTGTAAGAATCTGGACATTCAGCTCTTTAATCATTAGAAAAGAACTTACAAAGTTTAATACCCAATTTCCTACCATGATGACAAATTCCTCCCTAAACAGCATGGGAAAAATGCATTCCATCTTCATCCACATAAGCAATGAATTTCAATTCATAAGCTTACACAGTTGGCTTTAGAAGTAGTAGCATTCCCTTCCCACATCCTTATCTATAGCTGCAGCCTCCAACCCAGTCCCTGAGACATATGGTTTTGTATTTCTTGGAAGGTTTGCAGCAATTCATCACTATATTCAGAATCCCTTGAGTCCAGCTATAGTGCTTGGAAATTACTCCAATGTGGAGAAGAGTCAAACTGCATATGAATGTCCTTTTCCAATAACTAACCTGTGTCTTCAAAGTGATAATAAGAATTTTGTTTAACGTTAGAATTGTAGGGTAGAAGCTCAGTTAAATATTTCGTATAATTATACTTTAAACAGTAAGCATTGGAAATACATGGGCTTTCTCCTACATTGAACCCTTGGTTAGGATTTGGAAATATTTCCATGCCAAAGAAAAAGACTTGTTGACATCATTGCTATTACTCGATAGTACCTTAGTCAACAAACAAGTAGATCTGTTAAAGTGAATTATTCACTGTCAATCAGTAGTTGGATCTACAGTAATTAATTGTCAAACTATTTCAATACTATGCAATCCACTTTCAATTTTTTGAGGAATCCACCCCGCCCCCCCAAAACCCCACATGGACAGAATTGAGTAGGTTAAGTGGTATTGGATGCACAATGATATTTTTTACAGGAACATTTTCTTTACTTGCTTAATAACATATTGTTTATTTTTGCCATGTAAAATGTAGCCAGTAAGTACCAGATAGTTGGTAGATTTTGGAGAACTCCTTGTACATAGCCTTAAAGTAACCATTGAGAAGAGGAAATTGCCACATGAAATAAAATTTTGGAGTGTAGAAAAATCTCAAATGAAAATATACAATGGAGACTGTTATGAGAAAAAACATGAAGCATAAATTAATAAAAGTCAGTCAAATATTTACAAAAGTATGTCACATTTGAACTTGTTTGATCTGCAAAACTAAGTAGAACCAATCTTGGTAAATATGTTGATAGAAAATGTCTTGGGCCGGGGATTTAGCTCAGTGGTTTCGTCGCCTGCTACACAAGCACAAGGACCCAAGTTAGAGCCCTGGTACCAAAAAAAAAAAGAAAGAAAGAAAGAAAAAAAGAAAATGTCTAGGGTCACAAAGAGCTATTTACATACCAAATAGTTTTGGGGAAAAGATGTTATTGTGTTTATCAGGAATCTATTAAACATACTGCTCTGTTCACCAGTGCTTTGGTACATTTGTTTTATTTCTGTGAGCACTAATAAAACTGAAACACATCATTATTCTAAAGTATTTTATGAGTTATTTTATGAGTTTATACAGTTATTATATAATATGTAATGATGTATTATTATTGTTGGAAATTTGTTGGAAAATTTATGTGGTATAATAGAAACATACCTTCCCACTTACTAGAATATTGTAGGGCCTGGATATTGAATTCCCTGACTGTATCATATGAGAGGAGTTCCTCCCTATAAATGCTGAAGAGCTTTCTGATCATTGAAAGGATCAGAATCAGCAACATGAAGCAGGAAAGTTTTGATGACTGTAAAGGTTGAAAGAAGATTTGGCAGAGAAAAAAGAGGGCATTTCTGTTAAAGAGTCTCCTCATGTTTACATAGCCTTAAAGCCACTTCACTTGTTTTTCAATTGCTGTATTGATAAGGCACTTGTCTTCTAAGAGTAGGTTGTGTTTCCCTGACAATGAAAATAATGCTTTCTTTGTAGAACCTGTGTGTGTGACCTTGCCCAAATCAGACTAGGCATAACATAGAGTACACATTTCCTTGTTCTGAATGGCGCTTCATCTCAGCGGCTGTACCATGTGGTTAGCATTCAGAAATAACAGTTGTGTCTCCATGCAGTGGTGATCCATTCCCAAATGATTCTAAATGCTGACTACAACCAAATGAATATAATTACTGAGATGTATCTGGTCCTGACTAAGCATTCATCCTTTTATTAATTGACACGTGTATTAAGTTGTTTTGTTTGTTTTTTACAGGGACTTACTTAAGCACTGAGTAATTGTAGCTGTAGGGCATATAAAGTTTAATCCAATATGACTTTTTCACCTAAAGATTTTATTATGATTATTCTTGTATCTTCTTTTTTGCCCCTCTCTGAGAATTTCTCACTGCCCTTCTTGGCACACTATATTATGATTAGATTCGTTTCCAGGGACTGGGTACAGCTTAGAAAAAAATGAATCTCTTGTCTGCCAGGATCCCCATACAGACTCCACCGAGTCAAATTTAGTGCCAATGGGAAGTTGTGCTTTGTTTGATCTGCACTGATATCTGAACTGGGCCCTGGAAAAAGGAAACATGGATTTTGTTAGTATCTATGGAGCCAGAGAAAAGTATTCTGATTGCAGTCTGTCCTGATTGCTGTTGTAAGTGCGGTATTTAGAACATCTACTGTGCTCTCATGGCAACCACACTCCATCTCTGCATGTACCAGATGCTAGGGCCTTTTAAGCAGATGAGCTGTACAACTTGTAAAATATCCAGTTTTTAAGTTGGAAGTGATTCTGTCTTTGATAAATTCACCTTTCAGAAGAAGATATTCTCTTACCACCCACTCAGAATGTCAGGTTCTGCCTGATCCCAATGATGATCTGTAAATATCCATATTGAACTCATGACGATGATTCAACCTAGTGATTGCATATCCTTTACTTTTCCACTCTATCAACAGCCTCTTCCTTGGGATATCTCCCAGTATTCATGTCATACCCTGTTAGGTATATTGGGAACCTCTAGGACTGCATCACATAGTTTTATAAAGATCACATTTAATTCTTTGCCATTTTTGGCACTTAACATGTGGTTAGTGTTTTAAAAAGATGAAACGTGGAGGTTATGTATAAACTTAAAGGATGTTTATGTTTGTTATCTTATGAAATCCTTGTGAGAAATGCCAAATCCATATTTCACAAATGAGAAAACTGAGGCATAAGGATTAATCATACAATAGAAGCAGATTTATAAGCCAGTTTCTTTGACATAGACTATTTTTGTCTAAAAATGCTCCATCATACCAGTACTCTCTAAAACGTGTGCCCACCAGAAGTCTCATTTTACTTAGATATTTCATCCCTTTAAACTCTGTAGTGTGCCTAGAATTTACAAAATCATGCTGAGTGGAAGCAGTGAACACTGCATGGTTTGCCCAAAGTACCCAAAAGAAATAAGGACAAAGCCATCAGACAGACTTTATTTATGATTCTGAGAGAGGATAGTGCAACTTCAGATCCACCTCAACAGCAAGTTACATTAAAATTCAGCCTTTACCACAAGGACTAGAGGGGATGCCTTCTTCAGAGCCACTCTAGCTTGCTTTATGACAGTCTTCAAATAGAGAGACTGAGCTTCACGGAGGCTTCTTTCCCTACTTGTGGATCTGTGATCGTGACTTTAATGTCAGAGCATGGAAGAGAGCTTAATAAGGATCAAGAGTCTCATTTTACAAATGAAGATACAGATAATGTAAGGTTAAGTGACCTGTTCTATCAGGACCTTGGAGCAAGTTGTGCTTCTTTACTCCTTAATTGATTCACTTGAAAAAATATTTGAAAACTTACCTTGTTCCAGGAACTATTCCAGCTACTGAAAATACAGTAGTGGAGAAAGAAAGAAGGAAATCAAGAAGGACAAAAGAAAAAAAGGAATGAAGGAATAAAGGCAGGAAAACAGTTATTGCTTTGATGAGTTTATATTCCTATTGAGGAAGGCAGATAATAAATAAAAATGAAAAAGTAAATTATAGAGTATATTAAAAGGCAATAACATACAACTGAAAAAAAGTCAAGAAAGACAGTTAAGTAGTTCTAGGGGCACTGGGTAAATTTTAAATAAGTTGATCAGAGGGCTACTCACTGAGAAGTGAATTTTTAAATTTAAAGGAAGTAAAGGAGTAAGTGATGAGATTATCTGGGAAAAACCTGTGTAAAATCCCTAAATCAGGAGAACGATGGCACATTTGGGAATGCAGAGCCTGGCTGGCTAGGGCAGAATGACCTGGGTGCAGAAGAGTGGGACCAGAAGACCATTATAAGACCTTCATTTTTTACTCTGAGTAAGATGAGGTATTGGAGAAATTAGAGCAGTTGAGTGATATCATTGAGCATAATTTTAAGTGCATTACTATAGGTTTGGGGGTTGAGAATAGATTAGAGGGAAGCCAGGATACAACCAAAGAAACCAGTTAAGAGGCTATTGCAGTAATCCAGACAAGAGAAGATAGTGGCTCAGATCAGGTGTAGTGGTAGAAATGATTTTTTAAAAAATTAATTTTATTGGTACATTTGAGGTATACAATATAATGACATTCATCATTGGAAATTTGCACCTTTACATAATCCACCTTGGTTCTTATTTTTTCCTCATTCCCCTGCCCTCCCTTCAACCCCTCCACCTCTCCCTACCTACAAAGACTTTGTTTCTATTTTTTCTTTTTCTCATATTAATTCCATTCCCTTCTTTATTTTCCCCTAC